TCTGCGCTTCCCTAGCCTGCTCGTGCCGCGCGGACCGTCCCGTCCCGCCCCGCCCCGCCTCGCCTCGCCTCGCCGTCCTGGGCACGAACAGAGCACCTGCGCGCCGGGGCATCCTTCAGAAACTTCCCTGCGGGGCATTAACTAGGATCCGCCCCGGAGAAACACGCGGGGGAAAAACCACTAGAAGCTGATGCTGCGGGACCAGGAATGTGCTGTCGAGCCTTCCCTTGTCTCCAGTTCTCGGGGCGCTTGGAAGCATCCCCTCCTTACTTGGCAATTTGGCAGAATAACGTCTGTGTATTTAACAGAAGCGCGTTACTTAGTTTCTTTTCTAATATGCCATTAGGTGCCACACAGGCTGACCCGCATCAACACTGGGATGGGAGAGGTTCAACCAAGGGTTGCCAACTCTCGTGATTTTTGGCATTGTTCTTCAAGTCCACGTTCCGGGAACGTGAAAAACGTAGCTCTTTCTTTTATTCATATTTATCTACCTATAAGAAAGAGCTGGTTTTTTTAGCATTCCCAAAGCACAGATTTTAACAACAACGCCAACGCTCATGAGAGTAGCTTTTTAAAAGATTAATTCTTACAACTTGAAAACCCGCCCGAACCGTCTAATTTCAGAGTCTACCATCTTTGACTCTTGTGCCCAAGAAGAAAACAAAGTTTTGGCTGGGGTGTTATGACCCCGCACTCGTTCCTGCCCGGGGCAGGGGTTCGGACCTGATGATCTGTTTAGGTCCCTCCAACCCTAACAACAATGAAAATTTCACCTGGGGGGGAAATGGAGTTTAATATCTAGGCCCTTTTTATTAAGAAAAAAAGTATGGAAATGACTTTTCTGTTTGCTGGGAGATTCAAGAATGGTAAACAGCAACTTCCTACATCGGATATATGTTTTGGTGCCCTGCTGAAAAAAATTCATGCATGCTAGGAAAATGGCCACCAGCTTCAACAAAGTGTTGACTAGATCACAACCTAAAATGAAAAATAAATGCACAATTCAGAGACTCTTCTAAGACTTGTTTAGAAGTAAGGCTCGTGAACTAAATATTCACAAGGGCTAATCAGTGTATACCATATTGTTTAATAGTCTCTTGTTGAAAGGAATGGGCACAACTTACTGCACAATTATCTTGGGTGGATTATTAAAACGTAGGAGCAGGACGCTGGCAACATTATCTTGATGTTTGGTTGCCCAGTTGTAATAACACCTTCAGCAAGGTTTGCACAAGTGTCATGAAGAGATGATTGCTTAGGGAGAACAGGACTTCCAAGTCTGCAGTTTCCAGACATAACAGTTAAACCTATCGAATCTAGACTGATCTGCCAAAATCTTGCTTGCATATTGTACTTTCAGGGACAAGGTGTAAAGTGACTAAACTTGTATTGGCCATTCACGACTGTTCAGGGACTATTCTCATGGTGAAAAGGGAACTTCTTAAATATCTGACCGAGATATTAACCAGCATATTGCCAAAATGTATTCAAGATTACAAAATAAAATGGAATGCAGAAAGATAAGCTTCTGTACTACACTGAAGTTTCAGATGGTCTTTCATTGTTTTTATCCTTATTCAGCTGGTTAGCTATATTCTGTTGTTTACTTGCACACTTGCTTTTATTGCACCTTGAACTCTGAAGGAACATATCAGGCTGCATAGTTATGTCACCAGCCAAACTCTAAAACTCTGCAAGTGAGGTCAGGTTCATGAAAGCTCACACTGTTTTTCTGGTTTAGTTTGTCTATAGGGTGTAAATCTACCCTGCCTTCTGCTTGACTTCAGACTAATGTGGCTAACCTACCTCTCCAAATTCCCTTAGATGTTAACAAAAGCAGTGTCTGAATACGTCACATTAAATGAATTTAAAAAATGAACACCCTTTAATTCATGCACTAGTAGCCTAACCACCTTTGAAAGCACTGAACACTTTCAGCTCTTCTGGAAACCAAGACTTATCAGTGCCTTAATGTAATTAAAATCAGCACATTGGAAAGCAAATTCTTTCTGCAGTACTTAATGCTCTGAGTTTTAGATGAGACCAAAATTTTACTTTAAGACAAGGTTTACTTTTTCACATTTGAGTGATTCTGCCTATCATAAAGAAACCAATTTCTTCTCTGTCAAGAATAGCAAATTTTTCACATAAGGAAAACATGAATGCTGCTTTGGAACTGTGCCAAAATAACAGACTACATTTAAGTCTGTAGCATGAGCATCTAAATAAGAGATGGAATCGTACTGTACTCCTTTTGTATTGCCTCATGCTCAAAGTGCTTTGTAAACATAAATATCACACTACCAATACTCATGTTACACACTAACAGGAAATTACATGCACAGTTTCATTCCTTCCAGTTTTCTAAATACTTTCTTCTCAATTGGTTAGATCTCTTAAGCATATTTTAAATACTTGGTTTTGACTCTTGAGTCATTTTACAAGTTATGTATGCAGTTACGTGTCTTTAATAGAATCGTACTACTTGCCTGAAGCATTGAGTCTTAAGTATACCTTGGTATGCTTAGCAACATTTAAGGCAACAAAAATAGCATGAGTTATTGGACGGCTTTAATAAAGATGGCTGATGACCAGCTAAATTTAGTATGTTGTGTGGAATTAGAAAGTCTTAAGTAGGATTGTAATTTATGTAAAGGATTACAGAATCACTGAAGCTGTAGATAGCAATAGGTACTACAGAGCAAGATGTGGAAAAACATGGTTTGGTTTAGGACTTCTTAGTAGACAGGCAAAAAACTCATACTTGCTGCTTTCTAATACAGACTAAGTAGGTAAGATAACATGTAGCAACAAGAGGTCTTAGACAGAATTGGCAGAGTGGGAGACTTGTAGAAAGCCTAGGAAAGGAAATGGAGCTACATTTGCACTTAAATAGATGCAAGACCAAAACTAAATGCATGGGGGGAGGAGGGAAGGAATACCAAAGCAAGAATGCTTAAGTCTCTTTCTTTACATTATGATGTACAAGATGCCTTTGTGCCTAAACACAGCTAACTCACAGATAGCTTTTGTTGGGAGAGGACAACTGATTTTCTTAAATAAAGAGCCATTTAAGCTGATAACCTAAAAAATGAGGAATTTGTTTCATGCCACTGAAACCTGCAATGCAAGTCCTCTTTTTCTCAGGTGTCTAAATCGTATTGGAAGGAACACTACATTCTCCTTGGCTTGTCCTTCCTTGTATTCTGGGTGGCTGCCATGTGTGGGATAATTCTATATATCTAAAAATTAGCAAGATTGTATTACCAGTGGGCATGCTTGAGACAACTTGGTCATGGTCTAAGTGATGTTAAAGAGGTGGAAAATTTCAGATGTTAAACAATGCATCTCTTACACTCCATGCTCCTCTTGATATTAAATAATGCCGTGTTTAGATGGTTTACTGTTCCAGCAATCACCTCAAGATTATTAGTTTCCACTGTTGTGTTTTTAGTTTAGGACCAAAATATGTGTCATGTCCTCACATGCTAATTATTGTTCACAAATCTTCCATAATGCAGATTTGTGAATGCCAAGCTCACCTTTCAAAGGAAGGTTTCTGATTCTAGACGTGGTCCCTGTAAAATGTCTTTGCCTTTCTCAACAACAGCTGTATTCATGAGAACTCTGAAGGTGGCTGAGGGGGATTGTGCTGAAAGAGAGCCTAAATATCTCTGAGAATAAATGACCCTTACAATAGCTTTGGGGAAGAAAAGAAACCAACTATTGTATTGCACTGATTATAAATCAGGATACACTACATATCTGAGCACACACTTTGCATCTGTGTGAGCTCAGTGTTTGTCAGTCTTCCTATTTCACCAGGGAAAAACTTGTCAAAAGTGTAGCTGCTTGATCCCCTGTGAGCTAGGCTGGTGGTGGCGGTTACAACTGAAGGGGGTAGCTTGAGAGATGAGGACATCTATTTCCCCATCATTCCTCTCAGGCCTTGTCTAAACATAATTTAAGAGGCTTCTTGAATTTATTGTCTCCGACACCTTCCAGCTCCCCTCACCCCACATATGCCTGAGCCCTGACTAGTCAACGACATGTCACTTTAAGGTGGTATCACCCTCTAGCTTACTGCAGGATCTGGGGTAAGAACCACTCAGAGGAGGTGGTCTAGTAAGCTTTATACAGTTCTCCCCTCTCATGATGGGAAAGGTGCCTTTCATTCATAATAATTTGTAGAGAGGGAAAAATGAGAAGATGGAGGTAGCTGTGGGGTGGGGAAAGGAGGACAGAAAAATCCTGGAAGATGAGTGAAAGGGAAAAGGGAGTGTGAAGGTAGGAGGAAGAGGCAAAGGAAAGGGTGAGGATGAAACATAAAAGAAGGGAGATTTTTTACATTTCAGATCAATTCCAAAATTTTCGTTACAGCCCAAATGAATGCTGTATTCAGAGTTAGCATCTTTCACAAATAATTTGTAGTGGAGTGAAATGTCTCAACAAAAACAGTTGTGATATAAGCACAACGCTTTCTCAAGGGCATAACTGAAACACGATAAAATGTGATAATGTTCAGCTCACACAATTGTACGTAAACTGTATGACCCTTTTTGTGTCTTAGATCTACATCTTGCTGCTGAGCTTGGGAAGACATTACTAGATCGGAACACTGAGCTGGAAGAATCTTTACAACAAATGTATGCAACCAATCAAGAGCAACTACAGGAGATAGAGGTAAATATTTCAGGGTGTTATCAGTTCAAATACTTTTGCCAGATGCAAATTAAAAGGATTAGGATGCTGGGGAACTGTGGTATTGAGATTTTCAAAACTTTGTCTCAAGAAGATATCCTGCTACTTCTGGCAGCCAATTTAGGCTATTTTCAAATTCTGAAAACTTGAGACCTCATGTAGACTTAATCATAAAACATACTTTTCTCTGATTAGCAAAAGGTTTGGAGCCAGACTTAGACAAGTAAAAAAAAAAAAAAATTATTTCCATCAGTAACAGATTTCTTATGTAGGAACTACTTAGTTCAGTAATTTATTTGCTAAACCTTCCTGTACTTGTCACTTGAAGTGTGAAATTTGTCACTTGTGTGAAACATTTCAGTGGCTGTTACACAAGCTTAACTTGAGACATTCAGGATGGAGAAACTCTTAACAAATGGATCAAATTCTGAGATACTGATTTTTTAAAAATAAGCTGGGGTAATTGAGCAGGTATATGTTTATCCCCCAGAAAGAAAAGCAAAGACACAAGATCAGGAACTCCAGGCTGCAAATAGTTAAGCTTTTTTTCCAGATTTGTCTAAACTTTATGGATTATCATGCATATATGTATCTAACTTTTCAATTAAAAGACTCGTAAGGATGGTCTGGTCAACAGTTTAGAATCTATGGATATAAAAGAAGCTTAAAGCGGTTTGAAAGGCATCATTGTTTGAAATATAGTGCCATAGCGTGGCTGGTTTTTCCCATTAAACCTATGAGTGTGAGAATCATGTTTTGCTTAAAAGGATTCCTTTACATGGTAGAGAGCAATGTGATGTGTTTATTGTATACTCCATAGTTTAGTTTGAACAAGCATTAAAGTAAAATTAATTTAAAATACACTTACTCTGTTTACAAAGTGCAGTCACTACTTCAGTCACCCATTGATAGAAGCTTTAAATTCTTTAGTTGGGGGAAAGGAGCTGTGCCTGGTATTTACTAAAGAAATCAGGTGCCTGAAGAGTCTGTAGGGTGCAAGTAGTATTTTCAAGCAGTAATCATTTTAAAACAGTAACTAAACTGCTCTTGCAATTAAGAGAATGTTTAAATGTTCTTTGTACATCAATGGCAGACACCACAGCCTTAACACACACTTGCTACTGATATGCATATGAATGTAAACTAATGCTGTGATAGAGAAAGGTATGACTCTTGGTAAATACCAGCCTATTCACAGATTTCAAGCCTTGTTTGTTCCTTTTTATGTAAAAATCATATCAACTGGGTCAAAAACTTGTACCTCCCATTCAATTTACTTTTTTTTTTTCTTCCGCATTTAAGTTCTTGTAGATATTCTCTTTATAGTCTGGTCATTCTGTAGTATGAACAACAACAAAAAAATCAAAACAGTGGATTTGCAAATTACAGCAAAACACCTATCTGTGTGCATGTGTGCACGTGCACACACACGCACACACACGGGTTTCCCTTGCTTTATATGGGTTCTGTATGTGTGGATTTGCTCTTATGCAATGACCTTTTTTATACCAAAAGTTCGTTATATGCGAGGTAAGTTCACTCTTATGCGATCAGTGTGATGGAAGCCTGGAGTCAGCTGCTTTGTGTGGTGGATTGTGGGAGTGACATGCACCAAAATATAGTCTCCTGTGTGGATTGGTGCTCCTCGCTCATCGTTTGCGACATGTTTCTGTAGTTGCTGTCCCCATTATGATAGTGTGCTGTGCTTGTGTGCACTGTCTGATGTTGGCAAGTACCAAAATTGTCTTGTAAAAGTGGTAGAAATGGGTCTGGGGGTCAGTACAGTCAAGGTCTTGGAACTTATCCCTATTTGTTACATTGTAAAGTGGGTTCCCTTTATGTGAATTCAAGTTATGCACTGTTTTCCAGGAACGCATATACAGCATAAAGTAAGGGAAACCTGTATGTAAAAAGCTGAAATGACTCCCTCATGTATACACGGTTCACAAACAAGATTTATTACTAGAATCTAAAGTGTTAGACTGCTACAGACTGCTATACAAATACTACTAGGTCTCAAATTCTGACTCACTTCTACAGTGTCCTTATCAAGGGAATGCTTTAATTTTGCCAGCTGGGTAAATGAAAGTTGTCCATTCTACAGATGTTCCCTGGAACATAGAACTAAACAAGGCATCGGCAAACCCTGGCACATGTGCTGAGCATGGCACGCAAGCCTGTTTTCCTCCGCACATGCTGGGGCTGGGAAGGCAGCAGCTGTTTGCAGCCTCCCAGCTGCAGTTGACCCCAGCTCTGGGTAGCTGCTGCCAACCGGGAGCCCAGGCTGCTCCCAGCAGGCAGCTGGGACGCTGCAAGCCCTGCTGGGAGCAGCCTGGGCTCCGCGGCTGGGCCCCCCCCCGTTTCCCGCCCCCCCCCCCGGCTGCAGCCGGCCCTGGCTTCGGGTAGCTGCTGATAGCCACGGAGCCCAGGCTGCTCCCATGGAAGCCCTGCTGCAAGTAGCCCAGGCTCTGTGGCTATCAGCAGCTACTCAGAACCTGGGCCAGCTGCAAACATCAGCTGCCTCTCCCCCCTGGCCCTGCCCCAGGCTCTAGGGAGGCAGCACATACCAGCAGTACTCCCCGCTGTGCTGCCCTCACTGCTTCTGCAAAGCTTTGCCCAGAGGCACAACCCTGCGCTGCTGTTCCTGTGCACACAAGGGAAGTGTGGCAGGGCAGCTGGGAGCAGGCAGCTTTCTGCACCCCACACTGTGCCCTGCTGCCCGGGTTTGAGGGCAGCACAGTGGGGAGCACTGCCAGTATATGCTGCCTCCCTGGGGCTGGGAGGCAGCTGGGGCTGGGGTGGAGAGGTAGCAGATGTTTGCAGGTGGACCAGGTTCTGGGTTGCTGCTGACAGCCACAGAGCCTGGGCTGGGGGGCAGGGGCTTTGTATGGGAGGCAAGGGTCATGAGCAGGGCAGGGGCTTTTGTTGGGACAAGGGGCACAAGCAGGGCGCATCCTGCCATGTACCCCTAGTCCTCATTTTGTTTTTCTGGCATGCCAGCACTCCGACACCTTCCAAGGTAGGCATTGTTGGGGGTTTTTGGCACTCTGGCCAAAAAATGTTGCCTACCCTGAATTAAGCAGACCATGGTTACATTTGCTTCATTGAGTTAAAAGAAAAAAAACTAGTAATGACTAATACAGATCAAATTCAGTTAGCTGCACATAATAGAATTTGTGCATTTTTAAAAATACTAGGAAGTGTATATATACAAAATTGTTATGTTGCAAAGTGAAGCACTTGAAAGTTAGGCACATAATTTAAAGTTGCCTTGACAAATGACAATTCAGCTTTCTTGTGCATATGCACTAGGTCAGATTAGTTAAAGATCAATCCTCAACTCGTTGTCTTTGTACCAACTTTTGAATGTTGCTGCAGATGTGGGGGAAAATTTCTAGGCATCAGTAGGCAAAACTAATTTTTGGTTTGTCAAATCTTCACCAAAAGAAGGAAATGGGGAACATGCAGAGACTGATACTTGGTTAGAAGCCAATGATTTCAACAATCCAAAATTGTGCCAAGGGAATTTGTTTGTATCTGGTGACATAACAATATTCCTAAATTTAGCTTTGTTCATCCTTCCATACAGTTTAAAGTGTTAGCACCTTGAAAGACTTCTATGAGAGGAGAAGTGAGACCTGTGAGGACATACAAGAACTCCTGACATGGAATGGAAAACAGAGGAAAGACAGAGGCCCTCAAAGGAGGTCTTTGGCATTGGAGATTAGAAGATGCACACCACCCCAAGATGGGGAGGGGAAAGTGCCCATGCCTGGGGAATCATTGCACAGAGTTCCTGAAATAAAGGGAGAAAACAGGATGGCAGGAGACACCTGTGGGAATAGACTAATGTGAGGAGTTGGTGGTGTGTGCAAACTACTTAGCCTAAAAATACAAAAAATGTAATGATAACACATGTTCATATTCCCTCCTTTCTCCCCTTGCAGGAAGTCTATCTAGTGATTAAGACAAGATAAACGTGCAAGGTCCAGATTTCTAATTGTATAGGCAGGTCTTAAATCTGACACGTGTAATGTATAGGTGGGGCTTGACTTGCCACCTTAAAGAAGTTTATTTTTATACTCTTAATTTTTTTTCAGAATATCAATTCTTTTTATATAGTGAACTGGACTACCAAATGTTTTGCTCTTACTTTCGATAACTTGCGTTTAGTAGCTCTCTCTCCCTCTCATGGCTGCCGACTTCTTGCAACAAAGCTTTAAGACTAACTGCAAGGGGTATCCTGAAATGTAGTGCACTCTGCTGCACAGAAAGGATGAAGGAAGCCAAGAGGTGCATGTAGGTCTGATCAAAGTTATCCCTTTGAAGATTAAAACTAGCAAACGTTGACACCCTGAGGTACAGTTTGATTGTTGCTGCAGACCTTTGCACTGACACGTATGCAATAACTAATCATGATAAATGTAATAAATGCAGCAACAGTACATTAGAAGGAAAGCAAGAGGGACTGCCTGACCCTGTCTGAGTACTGGCAGCTCCTAAATCCAAATTTAGAAGCTATAGTACTCACTTTTCATAATAATATGGTAGAGTACAAGCCTGCTAGACAGTTTTATCATCTGCAGCCATATAGTAAGCTGTTCTGCTTCCTTTACAACTGACATAGATGCTTCTGTGAATTACAAAATTATTAAGAAGCCCATTTAACCTTTTAATGGTATTTGAGGGCAGAAACTCATCTGTAGTAGTATTTCAAGCTACATTGGTAAAGGGAAAGTGAGGCGATCGAGCAGTGTTTGCTTTTCCTCCTGTTTCCCATGTTGCTCTGATTTCACTCCACCTAAAGTACAATCTCTTTGGATAAAGCAATAAGGACTCGTGGTAGAGGTGATATCTTTTATTAGACCAGCTAGATTTTTGCAAAAAAAAATTCTTTAATTGCAAGCTTTTGTGCAATTAAAAACTTTTTTTTTTTTTTTAACCATAGAATCATAGAAGTTGGGTCGGAAGGGACCTTGTAGATCTTCAAGTCCGACCCCCTGCCTGGGCAGGAGGAAAACTGGGCTCAAATGACCCCAGCCAGGTAGGCATCAAGCCTCTTCTTAAAGACCCCCAGGGTAGGAGCCAGCACCACTTCCCTTGGAAGTTGGTTCCAGATCTTAGCCGCCCTAACTGTGAAGTAGTTCTTGTGGATGTCTAATCTAAACCTACTCTCCAACAACTTGTGGCTGTTATTCCTTGTTATCCTGCTGGGCGCCCAAACCCTTCTGGTCCCCCCTAGTGAGTTTATAGACAGTCACCAGGTCCCCCCCTCAGCCTTCTCTTGTGAAGGCTGAACAGGTTCAGGTCCCGTAACCTCTCATCATAGGGCCTGCCCTGCTGTCCCTGGATCACGTGGGTGGCCCTCCTCTGGACCCTCTCAATGTTGTCCACATCCCTCTTGAAGTGGGGTGCCCAGAACTGGACACAGTACTCCAGCTGTGGGCTGACCAGTGTCGTGTAGACATTAGTTGGTTTTTCCTCTAGACCAATATGACTACAACCTGGATCTCTTTGGATAGGTTTTCTTGATTCATAACAACTGAAGGCACCTAAATTCCAATTCTACTCTGTACGCTCTCACTCTTCTACTGCTAAAGAAACCATGAACGACTCCTGTTCTGAGACCAGAGGACAAGGAAAGTTAATCTGAGGCTGCTGTATAGAGATTCTGTTGGCTAATCCATGTGCTATTCTTGTGTAAATCCTGTCATACTTGCAAACTGCAAAAAGCTCTAGCCAAAAGCTATCCAGTTGATCTAGTAGTTATTATGTGTATCCGCAGTCCTAGATTAACTTGTAATCCTTTCTTAGATTGCCTAAAATGTGAACTAACTTTGAATGAGGTAAAAGGTTAAGTAGAATAAATATTAGAAGCTGTTATAACATAAGCCAATAGGCTCTTATCTAGGAATCTTTCAGGCAGCTTAGATGTGGCTTGGTGACTTTGAACGCTTGGCATCTAAGTGTATGTAACACTTAACTCTAAAACTATTATGTTCTAAATTTAGTGTTCATCTTTACATTTTGAATGCTAATTATCTTTGTTTTTAATTCCATGGTATTTCTGCTTCATAGGGTTTTTCATATTTGTATTCAGAGTCCCTGGAATTTTAAACACTTCTGTGAATTTTAGAACACACTTAAATACTTTTCAGTGTTGAATAGCCCAAGATGTTTATAATGCCAAGAGGCTTTAGAGATGGCAGTTTAGTACTCTTACAGTGGAAAGCTTTATTTGGGCTTTCCAAAGATTCACAAATAGAAAAATAGTGTGACAGGATTTCATATAAAAGTAATGACTGGCACTATACACAGGGAGATATTCTAGTTATTTTAATTGGTCTGTCCCAACTGCTTGCCTACAGATCACTTGCAAAATATCAACTTTTTAGTTTAAGACTAAGCTAAACTTTGCATTCTAAAATTCTTAGCGCTGCTTCACGCTGAAAATGTATGACCCTGGTATTACAGTTGTTTAAACTGCATAGTTACAATTAGAAGTAGTAACTTGCATCACAGCCTGTTTGTTCTCTCCATAAGATGGAATCCACTAAGCTTTTCCATCATCTCTCTATACAACTCTCTCTATTGTCACTGCAAAAAAAAAAGAAGCAAAATGGCAATACTTAGATAAATTTAAGTTAGAAATTGAATGAGAAGCCAAAAAGGCCTTTAGCAGTATATAGTGTAAAGCAGAGTAATTATCTTGCAGTACCTTACAAAGCAAGTGGAACTCTTGCGCCAGATGAATGACCAGCATGCAAAGGTCTATGAACAACTGGATGTTACAGCAAGAGAACTGGAAGATGCAAATCAAAAACTAGTTGCTGAGAGTAGATCGTCACAGCAGAAGATACTAAGGTAATGTAGCTGTTTCTGTTTAGTGAGCTTTATTTGGTTTTTATAGTAAGGGAGTGGCAGGAAAGTATGAGTACATTACTTTGTTTGGGTGGCTGGATTTGTCTACAGTTGTCTAACATTTGACTGAAGTAGTGGTTTTGTTTTAAAGATTAATTGGCAGTCAAGGAGGTTTGAGAGAAATTGCAGCTTTAGTGTGTAGTGATTTATCATGCCCGTGACTTAGCATTTCCTGGCTTTAACAGTTTGATCTATTTGTTAATTTGTAGCCTGACTGAGACTATTGAAAGTCTGCAAACCCACATTGATGACCTCCAGAAACAAGTGGAAGAGTTGAAGAAATCTGGACGAGGCCGTTTGAACCATGACAGAGCTGAGCAGCCAAGATCCATGCATAGCTTCTCATGTTTGAAGGAGCTGTATGACCTTCGCCAGTAAGAGACCATCACAATGACATGTCACTTTACTATGCCAGCAGGCATCTGAATCTTTCACCGACTTTACTTGCAGCAGAGCAGAAAATTTAGTCTCACTTAAGACAAATGGGTTAGACACGAAAACAGGTTCTACAAGTCTGCTTTATCCAGCTTTTAATTTTTTTTTTATATAGGGGTAGCCATCTGGCAGCACATGCATCATAAATGACATAGTTTCTGTGTGGCATGCAGCAAGGTGGGGAGGGGACAGGTAGTAAGTATCATGGTAGATGGGGCAGAGAGGAGAAAGCAGAGCAGGAGAGCACAGGACAAAGCAAAGCAGCAGCTGAGTCAGGGGAAGAGGATCAGAGTGGCACTCTAAGGGTTTGGGGGCCAATTTGTGGCAAAAGGGTTGGTCCCCACTGGTTTAAACTAATATTCTCTGTATAACTTAAGTGCTTTTTAGTTTTCCTGCTCCCTTTGCTACTTTTATGATTATTCCATGGAATATTCTCTCAGATTTCTTCTTTCCTTCTACTTCAGTCTGCAGATAGAATAGTTGTCTGCCTTGAACAGACAGAGTGAAATTAATCTAACTGTTCTCTGATTTCACTTTAATTTGGGTTGAAGGGAAAGATGATACAAAGCAAACATGCAAGGTTTATAGCCAAAACTTTAAACTACAGAGTATTTGTACCAATTTTGACATTCTATTCTTCTAGCATCACAACTTTTTAGAGGAACCTCTAGGCAGGTGGATTGTGTGGTTCAATACAAGGAATGTCCTGTAGGAATGTAACCTATTAAGAACCTTTTGAGTTTTAGGTCTTCTTGGAAGTTCTCTGCCTACAATCTGACACACAAAATAAGCAGCTCACATTCTACCTGAATTAGGAAGATGAGGCATTGCAGTTTTGTTTGGGTAATAGGTTTTTAGGTTCAGTGTTGAAAGTGTCTACTTCCTCCATCAAGTTATTGCACAGGATTAAAATTTATCCAGGATAGTCGTTTTAATCGGGTAGAAGCATAAAACCATGGAGCCCTAACTTCTAATGTCTCTCTGTTTCTGCAGGTATTTTGTTTATGATCATGTTTTTGCAGAAAAAATTGCCTCCATGGATAGTCAGTTAAGTCCCATGGAAGAAGAAAACGAGAACTTGAAAAAGGCAATGACGGTACTGCAGGCTCAACTTAACCTGGAAAAGGAAAAGAGAGTGACAATGGAAGAAGAGTATAGCCTTGTGATAAAGGAAAACAGTGACCTTGAACAGAGGCTGGTTGATATAGATTTATATCGGGCTCGGGCAGAAGAGCTTGAAATGGAAGTTGCTGAAATGAAGCAGATACTTCAGTCTGAAAATGCATTGAATAGTGTAGAGAAACTGGTTCCAGAATCATTTTTTATCTCATTGAGAGAGCCTTTAGAAAGGGAACTCAGTCAGAGCCTTTTAGAGGGAATAGCTCTGGCTGTCCCAGAGCTTGACAAGGTAGCCCTAAAAAGAAGTAACAGTGAAACCTTTCTAAGCAGTGCTGCCAGTGGAGACATTCTAAGGGGCCACGAGGAAACCTGTATCAGGAGAGCAGAAGCTGTGAAGCAGCGAGGTATCTCTGTGCTTAATGAAGTTGATGCTCAGTATAATGCTCTAAGAGTAAAGTATGAGGAACTTCTGAAGAAATGTCAAATGGATGAAGATTCCTTGAAGCACAAAGCTGTACAGACATCAAAACAGTATTCAAAAGACACTAATTTGGAGAACTCCCAGTTTGATCTCTCAGTTAGTGATAGAGAGTCTGCAAATGTGGAACTGACAGGCTCCCCCACAAATGCTCTTCCTGAATATAAAGCTCTTTTCAAGGAGATTTTTAGCTGTATCAAGAAAACCAAGCAAGAAATAGATGAACACAGAGCTAAATATAAATCTCTGTCTTCTCAGCACTAACACTTTACATGTTATCAGTGCTTATGATCTAATGACCAGTTATCTGTATTCCAGAAAGCAGGGCAGGGGGGTTTTAAAGGGGCCTTCAAGGGTTTTGTACATACCTTGATATGTGCCACGTGTAGTTCTAGAAATTGACCCCATGTTCAAAATTGACTTGTAAATATATATGATGTTAATCAGTCCATTGTATTGTGTGTGCATAATACCCCTGCCTAGCAAAGGATTTAGTGTTAATTGGTAGTCATTAGCAGTCTTAAAGCAGGAAATATAGCTTAATTTTCTTACTAGGTTTGGCCTCTTCAGAGCAGTAATTGACAATCTAGTTCACGCTGCCTAATTTGTTACAGAAACCAGAGACCAAAGCAGCATTTACTGCATTATTATACTTTTCTACTGGAAACCTAGAGGTAAGCTTTCCCTGGGGGTCACAAGTGAGAGGTTCTGGACTGGACGTAGCCCTGTAGTTGTGTTTTGGGGTGTGCTTTTCTTCATAAAAACATACTGTTGTGGACAGTTGCTGTTTGAGTCTTGATACTGAAGTTAGCTATCAAGATTGATGCGTTTTCCCAAAGGAGTGAGAGAGCTGGCACAGCAGCCAATTCTTCTCCTTGTTTAGGTTGGTACCTAGCTTTCACATGCACTAAACTCACAGATTACCACAAGAATCTTTATATTTAAGGGATTCCATGTAAAGGTGGTTGGTTTTTGTTTTTTGTGGGTTTTTGTTTGTTTGTTTCTGTTGGACAGTTTATTTTTTAGGGCAGTTTTGTCTTAAGCTAAGATACTGTGAATCATGCACACTGCCTAGGACCTTACTGTTCCTTTACAATTGTACACTTACTAAGTGCATTTTTGTGCGGTTTTTTTAAAACTATTTGATCAGATGGAATGTTGCAATTTTGTTTAATCTTTGTGATAACTTTGGTTTATAGACCTCACTCTTCAACTTTCTAAGAGACAGGCTGGGTAAATTGTTAAACACTTGCCTGTCACCTCTGATATCACTTTAGCTTGAGCTGGTGTAAACCTATATGTTAACAGCAGTAAAAAATCCAACTTCTTTAGAAGATCTGAATATAATCACTAAGAACCAGGGCCAAGAAACAGTTATCATCTTATACCTTACCTTTTTCCTCTTTCCACTTGATAAATTACTTCAAAATAAGCTTTTTCAGCTTCTGAAAATACAGAATGTGGATGAATGCTTCTAGAGCTGCATCAGGGAATTGGAAGAGGAAATGTAGAAAATGAGCTGAGGATTGGCAACTAGATAAATATGTTTAATCACCTTTCAGCACAGGTTGAGTGCTGTCAGCTGTTGGTATGCAGGTCAAATTTGTGATCATCTATCTACTTGAATTACCTATGTAAACCAAACTATTGCAAGGTGTTGACACTAATTTTATAGCTTTAGTTATAAGTGCTGCTCCTATTACAAACTTCTGTCTGCCTTTATACCACAGGTTGGTGGGGTTTTGTTTGTTTTTAAATATATATGTGTGTCCATTGGTTATGATATTTAAATTTCCACAACCCTAAAACTTGTAAGTTTTTATTGTATTATAAACACCTATTTAAAAAAATGTGGAACTTATGACTTTTTCTAAAATGTAAATAAATCCATCTTGGTGAAGTTAATGGGGTTCATGCTTTTAGTTGTACCTAACCATGTGAAGCTGCCATTGTCAAATACAGATCAGGAGTTAACTGGCTGGAAGGCACTACTAGTATCACCTGCGCTCTCATCTGTAACTCAATGAAATTCTTGTGCATTTTCACTAAAATATATTGAGAGGGGCTTTTTGAGAGGAACCAAAGGGTTTTAACTCCTCTTGCTCCTCATTATAATATGCAGGTTACATAATTCCTGCAGGGGATACGAGGAAGTATCCTTCTTCTTAGGCATACCTCTCCTCATGTGTTTGCCTTAAACAGAGGATGCTAAACTGGCTCCTTGCTTCCAAGTCACGGGCTGGAAACCTCTCTGTTCAGATCCCTTTTGTATGAAGTGTTGTACAGACACAAACATCTATTTCAAAAGCACTGTGTCATCAGGCAAAAAATGGACTAGAGTGTTAAGAGTTAAGCTCCTGGGGCCATTGCAAAAGGGAAGTGAAGATGAGGTAATTTTGATGTCTTCAGGAAGCTTATCTTAAGTTTGAGAGCATCAAGGTATCTGTTTGACAATTTCAGTAGATAACAAAAAGCAGTAAAAGAGCTGAAGAGAACACTGCTGGACTGGAGTGATCCGTTCTCTAGTGGATAATTATGAACAAAACAATTTCAGCCTCCAGCATGAGCAAAAGCTTTCATTCTGGTACATCACATTATTGGCTATTGTACTGGAAGTTACAAGCATTCAATATCATTTGTATGGAGATTCCCATAATCTAATATGCAAAACTCAGGAAAACCTTAGAATTAAAAGATCGTGCATGATTTAACTGTGTGACAATGTTGACACCTATGCAAGTTGAAAGCCCCTCAGGACAGGGTTTACTTCAAATCAAACACAGGGTGCCTGCAGATGCGCTGTAATTACAGCGCATCAGAGCAGACCATCTAGTCTGTTGGAGCACGATAATTACCATGCTCTAGCCAGCCTCCCCGTCTCATATCAGCAGCCCCACCCTGCAAAATGGCAGCAGGGGCACTTGAACTAAAGCTTGAACAAGCTTTGAACTAAAGCTTGAACAAGCTTTAGTTCAAGTGCCCCTGCTGCCATTTTGCAGTGCAAGGACGCTAATACAGGAGATGCTGTGGCACTTTAGAGGCAAGGAAATATGGTAATGGCAGTTTTGCTTTCCCCAGTAGGGGATTATGCTACAGAAAATAATACTGCACTGTACCACTCTGCAGGGAGCAGCCCAATGACTATACTGGGCTCCCTAGCTGCTGCTACTTACCAGTATTTTCAAGGAGCTAATAAAATTACTTCATCCAACTTCACATACCAGCTGGTTGATGGATTTGCAAGAGTAGGACATGCCAGCACAGCAACTGTACAGCTTTCTCAAAGAAAAAGTTTTGTCCTTCAAGGACAGACCTATCCACATACAGTACAGTGGAAGTATAAAAGCAGATTGTGCTATTGCCTTTCAATTGCCATGAGGCTGAAGTGGGCAATATTCTTCATTTGTTGTGTAGGAGCCTTATTCAAGTCTTTGATCCAAGGATGCACGTATTGGGTGCAATGATATATCAATCTAGAGATCTCACAGTCTGACAAAGTATTCATTGTACATTTCCTATTAGCTGGTTACCACCCCTGTTTTACAAGTGTCACTGTAATCCCAAGAGATTAATCATATAAATAACAAAATCAGCAATGTACATTACAATAGAGGCATCTACTGTGACCAGAGAGGTTTTTAATAGGAAAAATAATGCATTCAGAGTTTTTCAGGTGCATGTAGGACTTGCAAATACTTGGGTAAAGTACCAATAACAGAGGGAGCTACCAATACTAAAATCATGTTCATGGTGGATCAAAGTTTACACTGAGATGGCAGCAAAGAGAGAAGGCTCAAGTGACAGGGCTTTTTGCAACTGATGTTTAAATAGTGTTACAGTTTCTACTACTTTAGAAGTAGTAATTCTGTCACAAAACCTGCACAACCTAGATTTATTCATGAATACTGTGCGGGCCGGCTCCCGGTCCCGGGCGCGAGCCACGCCCGCCTGTGGGCACGCGGGCTGT